TTTTAGATGACATAATAATACATATTGGTAATTCCATGATAAATCGACTAAAATTATGTTATTTTCGGACGATCATTTTTAAAATGGATGAAACTTGGCTAGGTTAAATAGATTTTGGGTGATTCCACGTGAAATAGACCAAAAAATGAGATTTTCGGCCGACCATCTCAAAAATGAATGAAACTTGGCATGTTAATTATTTATGTTGTAAATGTTAATAAAATCAAAATTTTAGAGTGCTAGCTCAACCAGATTTAAAGATATACCCCTTTAAAGTCGAAAATCGCGAAGTGCGTGATTTCATTAAATCTTGTTATTTTAAAAAATATTTAAGATAGAATTACAAATTATATATCATTTTATAGCCCTTAAAATCTTACGTTGAAAAATATTAAAAAAAAATTAAAAAATTTCAAGTGTTTTCTTATTTCCGGTAAAAATAAAAAATTAACATTGTTAGGAAGGGATTATTTTTTGGGTGTTAATATTCACTAAAAATCCTTTATATTAAACGATTTAATAAAAAATCTCGATAGCCATTTTTGTTTTTTAATTTTCTTTGAATTTTTATTATTTTTACAAATAAGAAAATGCAATATAGATGGCGTTATATTAAAATTTTTTTAATATATAATTTTTAAGAAAAATATGAATAGTATTGTGATTAAAATTAAAAAATTAATTGAGTATAACCAAGAATAATGTCCTGGAGCGATATGTAAGCAGACAGTCCATACAGATATTATTTTATTGAAGCGATATTGTAAAATAAACATATTTTAAAATTTTATATTCAAACTATTATAATTTTGCGCTTATTAATAGAAATTCCTAAGGCCATAATTTGTAGATATATTCTTTCATTGTTGTGGATCTACTATCTTTATTATTTGAAAATAAAGATTTTATCTTATTTTATTTTTTTATTCTTATCATCGCTACAATCAATCATCATATATTTCAAAACTTAAACATTTTTTACAACCAAATGAATTTATGATAATTTGTGATTTCTCTGAAAATTATGCATTTATAATCCAAGACACTGTTTAAGGATTCCACTGAAATAATAATCAAGCCACTATTCATCCTATGATAGCATATTATAATAATAAGGGCAATATAGAAAACTTAATTATATGGTAATATCAGAGTCACTTTAACATAATGTTATTGCAGTACATTTATACCAGACTAAAATGATAAAATTTTTGACCAATCAATTCAGCAAAAAGTCAAACAAAATATATTACTGCTCTGACGGATCAACTGCGCAATATAAAAATAGAAATTTTTTTATAAATCTGTTTTATCATTAATCAGATTTTGGTGTATCAGCTAAATGGCATTTTTCAGCCACATCCCATGGAAAAGGTCCATGTGACGGCCTTGGCGGAACATTAAAAAGATTAGCAGCACGTTCAAGCCTTCAGCGCATCAGTTCTGGACACATTTTAACGCCAGTTGATTTATATCAATTTGCAAAACAAAATATGCCATCAGTAAATTTTACATATAAAACCAATAAACAATACAATTTACAAGAAATCAAACTACGAGAAAGATTCCATTTAGCTCGTCCCATTCCAGGGAAATCAAAAATATATTCATATGCAGAGGACTTTCAAATTAACAATATCTCAAATGCCGATAATTTGTCTTTTGCAGATATTAAAGGATTCGTAACATGTGTTTATGACGATTTTTGGTGGTTAGCCACAGTACTAAAAAAGAATGAAATTACAGAGGAGATATATATTTCCTTTTTACATCTCCATGGACCATCACCATCCTTTTTACCCCACAATTGCGGAAAAGATATGGTTACCCATTAATCAAATAATAACAGTAGTAGATCCTATTACAGTGACAGGACGTAACTACAAATTATCGTCTCAAGAAATTCTATTAATAAGCACAAAATGGGATAAAATTATAACAAGATGTATTTATTTTTATATTGATTGTGTATAAAATTTTAAAATATTTTTATTTTACAATATAGCGTCCTAATAAAATCATATCTGTATGGGTTGCTTGCTTACATATCGCTCCAGGACATCATTCTTGGTTATACTCAATTAATTTTTTAATTTTAATCACAATACTATTCATATTTTTATTAAAAATATTATATTATAAAAAAATATAATATAACGCCATCTAAATTGCATTTTCTTATTTATAAAAATAATAAAAATTCAAATAAAATTAAAAAAACAAAAATGGCTATCGAGATTTTTTATTAAATCGTTTAATATAAAGGTAATAAACATTTTTAGTGAATATTAACACCCAAAAAAAATTCCTTCCTAACAATGTTAATTATTTATTTTTACCGTAAATAAGAAAACACTTGAAATTTTTTAATTTTTTTTTTATATTTTCCAACGTAAAATTTTAAAGGCTATAAAATGATGTATAATTTGTAATTCTATCTTAAATATTTTTTAAAATAACAAGATTTAATTAAATCACGCACTTCGCGATTTTCGACTTTGAAGGCGTGTATCTTTGGATCTGGTTGAGCTAGTACTCTAAAATTTTGATTTTATTAACATTTACAACATAGATAACTAGCTTGCCGAGTTTCATTCATTTTTGAGATGGTCGGCCGAATCGCTGGTCGATTTGTCATGGAATTTTTTATGCATTACCTCAAATATATCCCGAGTTATGGGCCTTAAAAGTGAGATGGGAGCCTTTTCCTCTTCTAACGAATCTTAAAATATGCAAAATATTTTTGGTCTAAAGTAACAAATTATATATCATTTTGTAGCCCTTAAAATTTTCCTTAAGAAAATGAAAAAATTATTTAAAAAAATATCTTCAGTAAAACAAAAAAATTATTTTGAAAAATGCTCCATTTAAAATAATGAAACTCATGAAATGTGTTTAATACCAATATATTTAAGTTAAAATATTAATGGAGAAAATAAGAAATTAAATTTTTTTAAAATAATTTTAGGAATAGAAAAATCAATTATAAATGGCGTTTGAAACAATGAAACTCATCAAATATGTTTATTACCAATATATTTAAATATTTAAGTAAAAAATATTAATGTAGAAAATAAGAATTTAAATAGTATTTAATTTATATCATTTTATGAATAAATGTATCGATTATAGAGGTCGCTATTTAATGATCTAATTATAATATTACTTATAAATAAAATGTGCATTTTATATCAAAAATAACCATTAATATTTCTATAAATTAATATATACACTAAAAATATTTCAAAATATATATATTCTTGTACAACAATAAAAAGAAAATATATTATAATTATCTTTATAGATAGAGAAGCGCCCTCTATATGGATTTATTTATTCCTATAAAGATTAAATAAAATTTAAATTCCTATTTTCTCCATTAATATGTTTTACTTGCATATATAAATATATTGGTAATAAACACAATTCAAGTTTCATCATTTTAAATTGGTACTTTTCAAAATAATTTATTTCTGTTTTACCAGAAATACAACGACACTAAGATATTTATAAAATAATTTTTGCATTTCCGGGCTACAAAATGATATGTAATTTGTTACTTTAAACCAAAAATATTTTGATAATTTTAAGTTCGTTAATAGAGGAAGAAGTCCCATAACTCGGTAATATCTGAGCTAGGGCATTAAAATTTGAATATGTATAAAAGATACAATCTATTTAACCTCTATGCCAAGTTTCATCCAGTTTTAAAATGGTCGTCCGACTGACCCTTAGTTGTAAAAATTGGTTTAACTTAAATAAAGATACATCAACAAAATGTGTTCGCTAAAAAAATAAATTATTATCAAGAATGTTCTCAAAATACTTTCGACCAGATTGGATTATAAAATACTTGTCTAATTATAATTTAATAATTAAAATGTAAACAAGCTATATTAAAATAATCATCACATATGTTTGATTATAATTTAAGATAAGAATTTCTAGTTTTCCAAAAAAACATAATTTTTTACACTACTTTAATTGGATATTATTATTGGTGTAAAGTAACGTAGTTGCATTTTTGGGGGAAATGGAACGCCATTCGTTACTTGTTTAAAAGGATAATAAGTACCAAATATTTTGTAACGCTCTTAAAAAATATGAAAGAAATAATTATTTTTTTTTTAATTTTATAAATTATTTAAACAGAGGTTTTATTCAGATCTGAATTATTTTATTTATACATTTTTATTGTTGAATATTATACAGTCGAGATTGTTAACCTAATTTATATTGAATCAATCAAGGTATGTTAATTTCTATTCTATAATAAATATTATAATTTATATAAAGAATATATGTCAATAGTATTTATTTCTTTAGATGAAGATATTTAATGTTTGAAAAATTACAAATATAGAAATCAGATTTGGTTCCTTTAAATAAAAACATACATACCAGATTTAATTCTGATAAGATTTAAATATTTTTAACAAATTCTCCCAATGAAAATTTCATTTATCAAATATAAGGAACCCTTCCATTCACTGTGCTAGTTGAACGTGTGTAGCACAGCGAAATCTATGTTGAGCTCAAGGCGCTCTAGTTTATTTGATAAAAATTTCGAAAATCAATTGTTAAAAATAAAATTATTGCAAAGATCTTATCCTATAATATAAATATATTATTTAATGATTTATGGAAAAAAATAAATTTTAAAAAATATATATATATTAATTCGTATTTGTTAAGTAACGAGTAACGTGTTGCTTATAACGCCCTTTTCACAAGGTAACGAGTGATGAAAACACGTTCCCATTCAAAAGTAACGAGTAACTCGTTTATTTTTTGAAATAACGTTCACAGCACTAGATATTATTTAAATTATAATTTGTCTTAAGGGATGCCCCGTTATAAATATAAAAGATTATTTTTGGACAAATGTGATCATAAATTTTTAACTCAAAAGTTTTAAATACATTACAATGTAAGAACACTATAAAAGGGTTAAATATTGCCAAAATTAACAAATAGTATAAATAACATAATATTCAAACTTTCATTATTCCTTTAAGCTTTGTATTTGGTAATTTCGTTAAATGATCAATATCTATTTGATGAGTAAATTTGTGATCCTGGATTTTAGAAGACGTGTGGATAGAGGGGTTTGGAAGTGTTGATAAAAAATTGTTGGGTAAAACGTGATTAGGCTTCAGAATATGTAAAGAATCAGATGGTTGAAATAAATTTCCAAACCCTGGTCCACGAATTTTGCATGACTAAATAATAACATATTTAATTTAAAAGCTAAAACATAAATATAGATTTTTAGTCACATAGTAGGGTTGGCATAATTAAATCAAATTTATTTAAATATATTTTATTTTTGTGTTTTAATGATTAGTTTTTGTTTTCAAATAAAAACATTTTATTATACCTTATTTCACATATAAGATTTAATTAATTGTTGATATTTTCTTTACAGGGTTTCCCATTTAAAAAAGGAAAAGTCCCAATCAAAAAAGGAAAAGGTCCGATCAAAAAAGGAAAAGGTCCAAACAAAAAAAGGATAGTGTCAATCAAAAAAGGAAAATTCCTAAAAAGAAAGGAAAAAGTCCGATCAAAAGGAAAAGTGTCAAAGAAAAAAGGAAAAGATTCAATCAAAAAAGGAAAAGTGTCGAACAAAAAAGGAAAAGGTCCAATCAAAAAAGGAAAAGGTCCAATCAAAAAAGGAAAATTCCCAAAAGAAAAGTGTCAATCAAAAAAGCAAAAAAAAATAATAAATTTTTCAATTTTTCTTAAATTTTTGTTATTCCTTCTTATTTTATTTCTAACTTTTTGCGATTTCTTTACTTTATTTGTATCTTTTCTCAATTTATTTTTCTTACTATATCTTTTCTAAATTTTTTTCTTCTCATTTTTGATAATTCTTTTAAGTATATTTAATTTTCACTAAATTTTTGGCAGACAAATTTTTTATTATAATTTTTTACATATCAAATTATTTAATTACAATTACGATATATATTTAATATAGCAAGAAACAAAAATTTATATTAATCATTAATAATTTCTCCCCTTCTACATTTTGGAATATAGGTCTCCATATTTCTAAAATAATTTTTGGCATTTTCCTCTTTCTCCATGTTCTATGAAACGAATTAATTCTTCCTCGTTACTAGGATTTTTATTTCTGACAAAATCCTTCCATTGAAAAAACACATTCTCAAGAGGATTAAGATAAGGATTGTAGGGTGGTAAATATTTCAATGTATGTCCTTTTCTTTCGATCGATTCCCTAATTGAGTGATTATGATGAAATAGAACATTATCCATCACAAAAATCATATTATATTCTTCAAAATGATTTAATATTTCATTTATAAAGTTGCTAAAATATAGCATTGCAAGGGCCATCAAGAACTTCGAATCTAAATATTCCTGCAATTGCGAGAGCCGCAATGGTAGTATAATTTATTGTCTTTATCCCTTGAACATTTTTAATTGCCTTTATATTTATTTGTGAATATCCATACCTTTTTATTTATTTGTGAATATCCATATAATCGCCTCATTGATATTGAAAACCCACTTTAATCGATAAATATAAATTTTTCTTTCATATATGCTACATCTACAAACCAATTCGCGTATTCTTTGCGAATCTCTAATTTGATTCTATATTTACTCTAACTGAACGTAGTGATACTCTTTTAAAGCAGTACCTAAATCCTGAGAGTAGATACCGTATTTTTTTATATTTCCACATCATATCTTTCTTTAATCATTTCACATAACCTTTTTAAGGATAAAGTGCAATCCAAATTTATACAATTTAATATATATTCTTCCTGCTTCTGATTTAATTTCTTGCGTGCACGTGAACCTCCTTTGGGCAAGCTATATTTTATTCCATTTTTGAGATGGGAGTATTTAATATTTGTCACTGTCTTATAGCTTATTTTAAAAGATGATGCTATATTTTTGATATTATCCTTTTTTTAACGCGTAAATTATTAGAGCTTTTGTTTCACTGTTAATATTTTTTCCCCTTTTTACCATATCATAATTTTATTTTTTAAAACAAAAAAATTTCTTTTTAAAGTATATACTCAACAATTGGAAGTGAAAAAAAAACTAAAATCCTTAGATTATAATATTTACCTCATTTTACGTTTAATTTTTCATAAATCAAAATAGTTTAAAAGATAATTACAAAAAAATTATTTACTTGCTAAAAAGTATAAATGCGTCTTGAATAAATATTAAAATTTTAAAAATATAAGAATTTTATAATGATTATATTTTATTAATTTACATATCGTTTGGTATTACAGTTCAAACTTATTATAACCAAACGATTAATTTAATATTGTAATTATAAATATGTATGTAAAAAATAGTCTGCCAAAAAAATAATATAGTTTTAAAAAATAATTATAAAAATGAGAAGAAAAAAAATAGAGAAAAAATATAGTAAGAAAAATAAATTGAGAAAAGATACAAATATTGTAAAGAAATCGCAAAAGGTTAGAAATAAAATAAGAAGGAATGACAAAAATAAATAAAACTTAAAAAATTACGATTTTCCTTTTTTGAATGGGAATTTTCCGTTTTTGATTGAAGCTTCTCCTTTTTTGATTGGACCTTTTCCTTTTTTGAATGAGAAACCCTGTATGTTGAGGGCCTGACAGTGTCATACCCATCAAGATAAAAAATGAATAATTTCAATCTAAAGATATTTAAATTAGATTTTATTTGATACCCATATCGATATTTTGTGGTGATAAAAATATTCCTGACCCCCCAAAACCTAGACCCGCCCTCTATGAGTGATTATTATTACTACAATAAAAAATATTTTTATTAGCTTTTATTTTATCAAAAAAAATTATACTCCCCCCCCCACCCCCCAGACCAAGAATGAAGAGTTTCAGTCAAACCATATTAAATTTAGTTTTTATTTGATACCCATATTAAAAAAAATTATTTTTTACACCCCCCTCCACCCCTACCCCCCCTCCCCAGACCCCCAGACCAAGTCATACCCATCAAGACCAAGAATGAAGACTTGTCAAACGATATTAAAATTAGCTTTTATTTGACACCCATATCAAAAAAAATTATTTTTTACACCCCCCCCCCACCCTCAGACCAAGTCATAGCCATCCAGACCAAGAATGAAGACTTTCAGTCAAACCATATTAATTGATACCCATATCGATATTTTGTGTTGATAAAAATAATCCTGACCCCCCAAGACCTAGACCAGCCCATTATGGGGGAGAGATTGACTTCCAGTTGTATAGATCTTTTGATTAGCTATCGATTGATAATTAGACATATCTTATTTCATAAGGCCAAAAAACAATATTGAAAATTAATGAATAACAATATAATTAAAAAACGTTTTAAAATAAGATTCTTTTATATCATGGTTCAAACGTGATAATGCCGTATAGTTCTTTATCCTTTAAAAAATTGAATTTAAAGGGAACTCTTTAAATCCCGTGAAGATCTCAGATAGCTATGATCCCTTTAAAAATTACGGCATATGTATGATGTAAAAAAACGTAAAGAATTGTTAAAAAAATGGACCTAAATTTATAAATTATTTTTAAAAATACAAAAGAATTATCAAAAATGAGAAGAAAAAAATTGAGAAAAAATATAGTAAGAAAAATAAATTGAGAAAAGATACAAATAAAATCGCAAAAAGTTAGTAATAAAATAAGAAGGAATGACAAAATAAATTTAAGAAAATTTGAAAATTTTTTTTAAAAAAATTTTAAAAAATTACCATTTTCCTTTTTTGAAGTGGGATTTTCCTTTTTTGATTGACACTTTCCCTTTTTTGTTTGACACTTTACCTTTTTTGATTGAACCTTTTCCTTTTTTGTTTGACACTTTTCCTTTTTTGATCGGACTTTTTCCTTTCTTTTTGGGAATCCTTTTTTGATTGACACTTTTCCTTTTTTGTTTGGACCTTTTCCTTTTTTGATTGAACCTTTTTCTTTTTTGTTTGGACCTTTTCCTTTTTTGATCGGACCTTTCCTTTTATGATTGAAACTTTTCCTTTTTTGATTGGGACTTTTTCTTTTTTGAATGGGAAACTCCGTATAAATAATTTTATAAGTTGCGTTATTCCTGAAATCATTTTTTTTGATATAATAAACTTTTATCATAATTTTAATATTTTTAAAATTAAAGGAGATATTACTAAAATTAATTGTAACGATATAAAAGTATTAATAATAAGCTAAAATTTTTAACATTCAAATTAATTTTTTATACTCAGATGTATTAAATTATTATAAATGGGCAAATAATAAATATACAAAGATATCATTATGATTAAATACTTTTTAGTCAATCCAATATTGCTAATTTTATATTAGTTTATTCATAAATTTCAAAGGAAAGAAGATGTAATGTAATAAAATGAATGCCATGCTCCATTGAAATTAAATCGATTTTAAAATGTCGTCTCATCATTTAATTAGCATTGAAAAAAATGACATTATGTGGCTAAGAAAATTAGATTTGAATTATATTTTTTTTAAATTAAAATTTAATTTATAAATATTATGTATTATAGTGGCTGGTATAGTTGATAAACTATGCGATGCCACACTGTTCTTTTTATTAAATTATAATATATATAAATTTAAACTACCTTTTCTAATAGCCTCTATAGTTTAGTATTTAGGGCTCCGATTTTACGAATCGAATCTAATATTTTATTAATTTGAACGATATTTACGAATATCAATTAGGATTATTCGCATTAAAATATTACTCATAATTCAATTTGTTCCTAAGAATATTAATCTGAAAAAATATTATCCCATTCATTATCACAAATTATGATATATTAAGAATTCTGAATTAATAGTAGAATGAAAATATTTTATTGTTTATTCTAAATTATAACAATTTTAAATTTTACAGAAATTATACATGTTTTAAAATGTATATGATAGCGTCAATGTGTTATTTTTAAAATTTTAAATCATTGTTTGAGAGAGAATTAAAAATCTGATTTTACCGGAGTATGCCGTCATGTTTAGAATCTTATGAATTTCAGAGAATTTTTCCATGAACTTTTAAACTTAATATAATTTATTTTAAATTTTTCATATATATTTTATATAAATTATAAATGACTCAAAGCTTATCAGTAAAATTGTCTACAATTCATAAGATAGGTATTCCAAACATGATAGAATATATTTCTGCTAAAATCAGATTTTTAAATTTTGAAAACCCGACTCAAAAA